CCCCAAAACTGGTCAAAGATACCTTATTTGTAGTAAATGGATACATTTTGTGAAAATGAAATTAAAAAAGCGAAAATGAATAGCACACATTATGATTTACCACAGCTCGCTATTGTCTACTTTAATTTTATTTTAATGAAAAGGATTTATTTGCTACAAATAATTATGGCCCGACGATCTGGATTTTGGCAGTCAATCGGCCGATTTAATTAAAAAAATGTACGGAACATGAAATTAAAAAAAAAATCCCCTGAATGCATTTCAGTGGCCCTCAGTTATATGCAGATTTTCACTATTCGCGAGCTGACCTTTTCAATTCCCAGAATGCAATGCGTTTCATTCATGAATTTGGGATCTCAATCCTTGTCATAGGTGTGTTTGTGTTACCTGAGGTTTGTGTGTCAATTTTAACACATGTTGTTTTTATTGCACAATTGTGTTTGTTTGTTTTTTAATCAACCGTGACCTTAGGTCAAATTAAATTTGAAAGGCCATAATCGGATGATTTAATCAGAAGGTCGATTAATCGCTCGGGCCCTACAAATAATCCGTCTTTGCTCATCTATGTCAGTGATGAAGAGTGGCAGGCAGGATGATTAAAAGCTCTTCCACTAGATGGCGCAATGGGCAATTAACCTTTCTATATGTTTTATAATTAACTGAACAGGCTTAGATTTCGTTCTGAATGAGCTTGTAAGTGAGACCAGCAAGATCAGCATTATTTCAGTAAGATCTATATATAATATATATTTGATTTTGGGGGGAGGGGGGGTTTGTTTGGTGTTGTGATATATTTAGAATCTGGAATATGTCCCTTGGCTCATTACAAATTGTGAAATACTGCACTAGACCACCAAACCGCCAGAGCAAAAAATGTATTTAAAAGGAAAAAAGAAAAACAAACTCATAAAACCGGGAAATTATGGGACTCTGTTCTGAGGTGGTCAATCATCTTATCCAAAGTCTGGTTTGAAAATTTCACTTTTGAGTTATAATTGCATTTGGACATAAAAAAAAAAAAAAAAATGCCAGGGGCATACTCAAGATGACGCACCGTCACCAAACCGCACCACCCATAATGTGGCTGCGCTGTCACCACTCTGCTGCACGCTGGCTGCCTGGCAGGCAGGAGCCGAGTGTAATTGGGGTGATCGTGAACCAACCAGGCCTTGGCGAGGACTTGGTGTGTGTGTGTGGGGGAGGGGGGGTGTTTAGGGGGAAGATGGCTGACAGGTTGACAACGGTAGAACATGTTGTCGCTGTAATTGCTGGCATGCATATGGTGCATGATGCTATTTCGTGGTATGCAAAAGAATCGCTGCCTCAGCACAGTTCAGTTGTATTTCACTTTTAGCATCATATAATTGCATTTAATCTTTTAAGAACCATTCATCCTAGTACATTTTTTATGAATTTCTGATTTTTATCCAGGATTCAAAAATCACTTTCTCTTTTTTTTGGGGGGGGGGGGGGTGAACCTTTTGACGAGCCCTGGGATAGAGAGGATGCATTCTCGGAAGACACGCATGAGAGATGAGCGTGCCGTTAGCAAAGCAGGGAAGCTCTGTTTGCCTTCCTTTTTACTCAAGTCCTTGGTCATCCACATCCTCCTCCTCCTTCCATTCCGCACGTTCGTTCTCCCTGGCTGACTTTCCCCTCTCTCCTCCGCTCTGTCACCCCTCTAAAAAGGCTCCCACTGACAGACCTGACCCTTCGTGAGCCACATCCGGACCCTCTCTGTATTTTTTTTTGTTTGTTTGTTTTTGGTTTTTTTTTTCCTCTCCCACCCTTGTTCTCCATTCAAATAGAACTCTAATTAAAGTCTTCCACTTGGTTGTTCTGTCTGATAGTCTGCACTTGTTGACTCTCTGGGGTCACTAATTAAAACGGTTAACTTTTCTTTTTTTTCTTTTTTTTACCTGTTGGTTCGTTCTCATTTCCTAATTAGAGGTAGTTGCTTTTATGTTGACTGTTTTGCATGTGGTGAGCATGTCTATCTCAAAAGTCCAGCCTCTACGTTGCCCAGAGGTGTGAATGTGAAGTTGAATAGTCGTCTTTCTCTGTCAGCGCTAAGATTGACATGTGAATAAGTCCACGGTCAATCCAGATTTCATTGATCCACAAACAGTATAGAGAATGGATGGATGGGTGTTTTAAATGCTCGGCATTGCTGGCAACCGCATGCAAATCCATTGATTGACTGGCATCTCTTTATACAAGAGGGCACAATTTATTCAAGATACCGCGTTGGGGAAACTTCGCCGGACAGCCCGCCACAGCAACATAAAGTATGTCCATATGGCTTTTATCCGTAGGGTAAACAGTATGTCAGGCTAGTGAATTGGTATCACTGCTGTATTTTCGGCACATTTTTACAAGTAGGAGCACAGATGCACAGTGTCGACATGAATGACTCCATCGGTACAAGACCATTGCACCAATGTGAAGGATGAGGTTCTGTGCTTAAAACTTAGGGACAGGAAATGTGGTGAATGGTGTTGCTGTGAGCGAAGAAACTAAACTGCATTTGCAGGAGATACGATTGTGGTTGGGTTGAGGCAATACCCAGTGGTCCCAAAAAAAAAAAAAAACACTTGCTCCAGGAGGTACCAAAGGCGCAGGAATAAACAAGCATTGACTCAGTCAGTGAAATTTCACTCTATTCAGTTAAAATGTTAGCTTCCTTAACTTCCATGCGACTGAAAAAAATGTATATATTTTTTGTAACCAGGGAGACGCATCACAAAGGAACATACAGTTCATAGGCATGCGCACACTGTGGAACCTCACTCCATTCGGTGAGCACAGGTAACGGCACCAGTGTCGGTCTTGGTGCGTCCCTACTCTCTTATGTGGCTACCTCGTGACTGATAGAAAAAAATAATGAGCAGTTTTGTAGATCAGCCGGAATTTAATCATTTTAAGTGAATGGAGCGACGTCCCACAGGTTGTGTCAACACCTACTGTTTGCTTTTTCACTTCAACAAGAATCCTACCTCTTGCAACACTTTAAACTGCCTTTTTTTTTTTTTTTTTATCAAGTCAGAGCCCCACCATTTCCCACAATTGCTGTTTTGAAGTGTCAGTCACATTGCCTCATCCCTCTCAGTGACTCTCACCATAACGTTTTCCATTTCTTGTCTTTTCCCGTTTCTCCTTTTCACACTCGTCCTTTTTTATTCCTCAACCAACTTTCTTCAGCCTTGCCTCAGTCATGGCCCATATTCGATTATACACCGGTAACTCTTTAATAGACTGTAGCTTACAGGAAGGCAGGAATCGGAAATCTACATTATGCACCTCTTCTGTTGTAATCATGCCGTCTTGTCCACGGGTTGTTATTGTGCCGAAAGCCAGTCAACCTCGACGGAGGCTGTGCTCGTACATGCCAATCATTTCTGCATGTACACTCTCGTCTGTGCTTATTTGCACTTTACAGATCGAATCAAGCAATCCAGGCAGTTTTTTTTTTTTTTTTTTAACTTGAACTCCTCTCAGTGGTCATGATTAGCATTGATGTGTGTTTTAGCGTCACTTTCCTGACACTTTGGTAACTCTAAAATATTGCCTTTCCAACAGACCAAAAAAGAAATCCATTCCTGAGCCGGAGGTACCAACATTCCACGAAGCATTTAGGAATCCCTGAATACCCTTTATCTGCTTAATTGCTTTCTCTTTCCATTCAGTCTCCTATTACCCTGTATAAGTGTCTAAGCAAAGCCTCAGTCCATTGTGGCAATTCTTAACCGACCTTTTGCAGACTTGAGGGATCATTCCTTCATGCCAAGGCCCCCCCAAAAAAATCCCTATTGATTTTAAATGATATGCGTCACAAAAGCGAGGAGAGAGCCCTGGCTGCGATTCAAATTGATACACATTGCTTTCTAGCGCTTGGCCGCTCACAATTTCCAACTTGTCTCCCATCAGACTTATAGGGGTAATGGATCTGTGCCAAAGCAGGAGCCCTATTGATTTTAAATTGCATCGAGCCCGATCCATAAGATTTGGAGGATAACATTCAGATGGTTACACGTTCTGCCGGGCACACATGATCTTGAAAAGTAAGGCATTAACTGTGTTGTCAAAACAAGAACCCTGCTGATTTCAAATGGCACGTGATAATAGATTGAATCATAGACACACACACATTAAGTGGGGTTTTGGTATCTGAGGCAGGCCTCAACTGCTGGGCGCGAGGGCACTTGAGGAAAAGCTTAACATCTTCTGAAAATAAAACATTGCCTTGCTAAAGTTACCTTAGTTAAATACATATATATTTAACTAAGGTAACTTTAGCTAGGCAAATAAATATATAGATTTGTTTTAGGTCCTATGAGACACATTGTACTAAAAGCACAGCAGCATGAGAAAAATGAAGAACCTCATTTTAATTTCTAAGCTAACTTTTGCCAGGCCCAATAACATTTTCGGTCCTATGAGGCTCATTGTACAAAAAGTATTTTTAACACTAAAATACTTCAACTGGGCATTTGAATATTTTGTAGATATTGTGTGAAACGACTTAATGTTTAGCAATTAGCTTTAGCATTAGCATGAAAAATGGTGGATTTGAAATTAAGAAATCCAGGATGCCTCGGATACTGGATGACAAAATTTCCTTGATTGACTTGGGGAGGGCGGATGGGGGGATGTATTGGTTTCTTTATGTATTTGTTTTAAAGGGGCAGACGAATGTCTTTTTTTTGTTTTGTTTAGTACAACTACTTAACGTGTAGCTGATTTCATGTTCCCCTAATTTACAGAACATACTAATTGAGACTGAATCAGCGGGGCAGTTACCTAGCTAGCTAGCTCGCTACCTACCTAGCTATTGTGACCAACTCTCCCATAGCAAATCGCACCAAGTACTTCTTGCTATTTTGCTTCAGTTGTTCTTAAACTTGATTTAAATGGATCCACATAATGTTCAACCTTTTAATAATTATGGCCATTTGGCCTCGAGTTATAAATAATCCTGTTTTTGTCATTCTTTCTTCCAGGTTAACAGCAGGCGAACTGTCCATCCAGGTGAATCTGAACGACTATTTGGACTTCTACTGTCCTTACTACCCCAGCAAGCAGATGCTGGGCCCCAGGCAGCCGGAGACACTGGCCCTCTACTTGACAGAAGAGGCCGCCTTCCAAGGCTGCGTGGAGACGACAGCAGCCATCAAGCGGTGGGAATGCAACACCCCCTTTGCTCCGTTCGGCTCGGTGCGCTTCTCAGAGAAGATCCAAAGATTCACCCCTTTCTCACTGGGATTTGAGTTTCTGCCAGGGCGGCACTACTATTATAGCTGTAAGTATGAGGCGTGTGTATGACTGTGCGTGGGCACTGATCCAAGGAACATGAAGGCATGCCATTGTTTAGAATCACTTTGAGTCCTGATGATCTATTCAAGAAAATATGCTGTGCTTGAATAACCTGGAATGCTTTTTACAGCCTATTAACTGACTCGGTTCTAAATATATATTTTTTTACTTGAGGAAAAAACTATGTTCTAATTCTTTTACATTTTATTTCGTATTCAAATTATATTACATGGCTATTGTGTGAGCTAATAACATCAATCATAGACAGCCCAACTTAGATTTTTTTTTCTTTTCAAATACGAATCGTCACTTGGCTTTTTTGTTTGTTTTTGATCTTGATACAAACAATAATTTGAGTTATGTGCTTTCTGCAATCTGGTTACTACCATTTCCAGTATAAGTTTACTGTAAACCGAAACATCAACCAGAGGTTTACACATTGTGTGTTTAACCAAACCACCTAACACTGCCGTACAAAAGTATGCTAGCTAAATACTAACCCACAATGAATAACACCATAGAGGGCCTAACGAAACTCGTATTGATTCTGCTGTAGTTATAACCCTTTTGAACACAAATGGTGCAGCACCACATGTAGACAGACGATAGAAGAATGCTCACAGGAATCTATTCTTTATCCTTTGAAACCCTTAAACAGTGAATATTTGGGTCAGGTTACCCTACAAAAAATTGCCAACGCTGAAGAGCTGCAACAAGCTTCCCTCATAAAACCCACTGTACAAGGAATGTTTTGAGTAACAAACAAAACGTATATTCTTAACTGTCAGACAAGAGTAAAAATTGCTTAAGTGCTGAAAAATATAAATGACAAAAATTCTCAAACTTAACTTTGAAGCTACACTGAGACAAAATCAAGCTCACTTGCGGTGTACATTCTTCTCACTGTATTCCATCCAGCTGTGCTTCCTCGACATGCCTCAGCAGAAAAGAATGGCAGATAGAGGACATCTTGTCGTCGGTAAAACCTTTTTTTTTTTCTTTTTTAGGTTCCTTTCCCTTTTTAAGACGACTTGTCAGTTTGAGCAAGAGAAGTGGGTGGACATGAGACAAGGCAGGGAATGAAAGGAGTGAAGAGAATACATGGTGTGCATCAGTGACACGCTGTAACACACAGTGAAAGACAGAGAGGCCGCAAAGTGAGGAACAATTTGAAGATCAATACAGGCAGACTGAAGGAGAGAAGAGTGGGCGCTGTACAACTTGGAAGTTCTAAAGCCCCAAACGTTGAAGTTGGACCAACATTTTGGTGTGATGGTTTGAGCAGGTTTCTATTTCATAGTTTTTCTTTTTGTGACCATTCCTTTTGGTTTGATAGGACTTGCAGCTGGAGTCAGATATTTACTAGCGTTATGTGTCAAATGATTTTCATTTGGATGCCCTACCCTGATCCACGATAAAAGTTTGATTGCCTGTCAATTATTTAAAATGGAACTGTACCCAAAACTATGATCCCACAACACATGGATATAATTTTAAATTCATCTTGCATCAAAATATATATAGCTTAGATTAGATTTAGATTTAGATTTATTAATTTTGCTTTTCTAAATGCACTGAATGCACACTTCGTTGTGACATGCAAGAATGCTAATTACTACTTTTCTATGAGCCATTTTTTAAAAAGTGATGCGTAGATACTAGACAGAGAAAGATTATGTGCGCCGATATTCGGCATTTTGCATCAGCCATTTTTTTGTTTTAATCAGGTCAGAATTTATTTTAAAATTGTAGCTAAATTTATAAGAACATCTCTGCACCTTTTTGTTTTTGTTTGAAAGTAGGACAAGGATAAGTGAAAGTTTCAAAATTTTCAGACTTTTACGTTTAAGACTTTTTAAGACCTGCTGATGACCATGGGAGCTCCCTCAACTTGTTTGAGAGAGCAGGGGTGTGTCAAAATCATTTTGTCATGGGCCACGTTACAGTTACGCTTTCTCTCAGTGGGCCGTAAAAACTGTGAAAACATAAACGTTAATCACCTCTTCGTATTATTACATATAAAGTACATAAGTAATTGATGGGTAACTATTGTTCATGTTAAGAGAAAAGAGAAAATTCTTTTAATATCTCAACATTGTTGTTGATTAAATTTGACGATTTGAAATTTTGGTTGAGATTTTACAAAGCATCATGAAAGTTGACATGCTTGATTTGCTTTCGCAGGCCACATAGATTGATGTGGTGGACCAGATCTGGCCCCCGGACCTTGTGTTTGAGACCTGCTAGTTAGAGGTTTTGCCATGTTTGTTTTTGCTCCGTTGCGTGGCTATTACAATGGTCAAGCTAACAAACGACAAAGGTTGTAGTGCTTGAAAGTTTGATCATAAACAGTTTTTCTTCCAATATCAAATCATTTGAAAGCTGTTTATTAAGTCATGTTGAAGGATTATTTCGTAAACTTGCACCAATGCCACTAGTGAACCGGACCTTTCTCTGCATCATTGTGAAGTTTACAACCTTGCTTTCTCCGGCGTCGACCCCAAAAAGGAGCCTCCTTGCTGTTGGCTGTCAAGCCACTTGGCTAATGATAGCTATTCCTCTGCTAACATGGTGCCTTAAAAGGAGCAGAAAAATATGCTAATAAGCCTGTTTTTCAACAAATACTTTGACATAAAAAAAATTGCGAGGAGTTGAATGCTAAGTTGCAAATCGGTGGGGGTTTACTGTATCGAGTAAAGATGGAGACGACTCCGTTAGCGGCCGGATGCTTGTCACTTGTGATCAAAAAGTAGTGTTATTGAAACATTTTCCATGAAATTAGTGGTTGATTTCATGTAGCACTTGTGTGACAGTTAATGTGTACCATTTGGAAAACTGTACCATAGTGGGAGAGGAAACAAAAGCAAGCATCTTTCCATAAATTACTCGTGTAGTAGACCTGACAATGGAGCTTTGTTGGACTATAAAAGCGCAGCTCCGCATTCATGTATATTATGTAAACACATACACAATCCGTGGGCCATTGTGCTTGTTGGGCCACTTCAGAGAAAAGCAACAATGGAAAGTAGCCTCCCCCCCCCCAAAACCCACCACCTCTCCGCCGGATTGGACCACTTTGGGCTCTGAGTGTTTGTGTTTGGCCAACATGAGTGATAAAGTTGGTCCAAATATGCGTCTCTTGTGTTTAGTGTGCACCACTGGACAGACTATAAAGGCATTAGACAACAATGGTGTTACATACACTAATTCCATTAGTGGCTTCAGTCTGAAACCGGCTCAGCTCGTCTGCTCCCACACACAGGCCGCCAACTCTGGCTCATCACACGGCGCTTCTTCCGATGGTATAGCCGTGTCATCTTAAAATAAAAATAAGTGAGGAGTTCAACTTAAAATCGCACGGCGGAAATTGAAAATAGCATCTTGAGTTACTGTGGCAACCTTCTTTCACCTGACGAGCCAAGCCTGGACCTGTTTTCCTGATTCATCCGTCCCGTGAACTCTGACTAAAACTGATTGTATGAAATCCAAAGTGATATTTTCCATTGGAAATCATGTAAATGCAATTAATCCATTTCAGAAACCCACAAACTATGAACAAAAATACCTCACATTCAGAGTAACTATAGCTTAACAAAACGGTGTAAAATGAATATCTATGACTCATGAAGTGGATAAATGAACATTTAACATCACTTTTACCATTATTGGAGACTGAATAATAAGACCTTAAAGTTAAAACTTTTACAAATACTTCTTTGCTATAGTAGCTGGTCCAGCCAGGATGCCGTGCGTCGTTAATTCTCACTTTTTCCACACATTTTATCCCATGAATTATAATGACATGATAGATGTCCTTAATGTCATTCAGTTCTATGAAGTGAAGTTACTTATAAATTAACACTCACTTATTACCCACTGCATTGGGTACATCTTGTGAAATTAATCCCTCTGACAGTGTTATTCTGTGGTGAACATTATTATCTTTGTAAAGGGAGAAAATTGGATCAATCTCTTGTATCGCCTACCGTAGTGTTTGCCGTTGAGAAAAGAGAATGCGCTCGCTCTATGATTATATGCCATACCCTGTCATTTAATATGATACCGATACAGAAATAGACGGTTGCTCGCACAGACTGCTCCGCTTGCCTATTGCGTTTGTAAATTATTCAGTTTGCACGCGTGTTTGTGTCGTACGAGGGATGCCGAATATATATTTTTTCTTCTTTTACGCTTCACTTGTAAAGATGAACGTGAGCGCTTGGGGGTGGGGTGGGGGGGAATCACTCATGTGATGGATTTCAAAAGATTTGCATTTATCTGTAAAATCATCATGGCTAACTAAAGAACGCGTGATTTAGTGACATAAATAAAGTGCAGCTGACTGGTGGTCCCGATCCAAAAATTAGGATCGTCCTCATACTCTCTCGTGTGATGCGTTCAAGGCCGGCGGGGAATTTTCATTAGCACCTTGCACTGAAGTCCTTCTCTGTCCTTCCTTGTTGTGGCTCAGCTCTGCGTGCAGACGAAGGCCCACCGCTGCCGTGTATGAAGCTGCGCGTCACCGTGTGCTGCGAGACCGGTGAGTGCGCGCCTCTTTTCATCAGCTCCCCGTCTTCCATCGTCATTTCGCTCCCTGTGAACCGCCTCTCCCTCCTCCCCTCCTTTACCGCCACCTCGGCCTTTCATATTTCTACTATCAGGGCTCTTTTTCATGCAACTGTTGCCCTCATTTCCCCATTACCACTTCGACTGTTTCATTTCCTCATGCCCTTTTTCATCATTTAAATTCAGGGATCCCTCGACTGAGAAGTGATGCGACTTGAGAGTTTTCGGCTGATTGCCTTTGACCTGCAAGCAAAAATGTCAGGCTGCCTATTGCCATTCCGAATTAAAGTTTAAACATCACAAAGATAATTACGTTGTGTATTTCACCAAACCATATCTTAGGAGAGTTCAGTTGCTTCACACTAACACTTTAACATCCTACATTAAAAAACAATTTCATACTGTAGCTTTGCCTTTAGGAAAGTCCAGTTACCTTAAGGCAAACAAACAACACAAAACACCATAGATATGCCAACAAAACTTGCAAATGAGTTGCAGCCTTAATAACCCTTTAAGCAATTGAGTCAAACACAAATGGTGCAGCAACACAAGGTAGACAGTATAACAATAATCACTGGCATAAATGTATCCTCTGCGTTTAATATTACTGCATCTTACTGAGGCACTTGTGAAACTCGTTGATTGTCATTATCAGTATTAAAAAACTGCACAGCAGAAGGAGCCCAGTGCCAATGGGCATTAATTCATGATACATTCTATTTCATTGTGTTA